GCCACTAGACCGCCACGGCGGGGCAAAGTTTCGGATGAAGCGCCGAAAGTAGGAACACAGTCCTACGAAGCTGTGCAGTTCCTTGACAGATGTCAGTTTTGGGAACTCGGTCACGGCCCGAAGCTTGGCTAGATCAGGGATAATTCCGTCCTGGGACACGACGTAGCCGAGTATTGTGAGCTGCCGAGCCGCAAATAGGCCCTTTTTTTAGTTTCAGTTGCAAACTGGCGTCACTCAGACGCGTCAAAACATATCGCAGCCATTGAAGATGCGTGGAGAAGTCTGAAGTGAACACCACGATGTCATCGAGGTGGCACAGGCACGTGTGCCATTTTAGGTCGCGCAGAACGGTATCCATCACGCGCCCGAAGGTGGCGGGCGCATTGCACAGCCCTAACGGCATGACGTTGAATTCGTACAAGCCGTCAGGGGTGACAAGAGCGGTATTCGGTCGAGCGTCCTAGGCCATAGGCCAGTCCCCTGAGCGCAAATCGAGGGATTAAGAGAATTCTGCTCCATGTAGGCTGTCAATCGCGTCATCTATTCGCGGTAGTGCGTACACGTCCTTACGAGTGATCTTGTTGAGGCATCGGTAGTCCACACAGAACCACACAGAACCGTCCTTCTTCGTGAAGAGAACGACAGAAGACGCCCAAAGGTTGTTAAAGGGTCGAATAACATCGCGGCGAAGCTTGTAGTCGACTTGCTCGTTGATTACACGGCGTTCTGCGGAAGATACACGATGTTTGCCTGTTATTTTTACCTTCCGATTTTCCTCATTTCACGTGTAACAAGCGAAAATGATCTGGCGTACCAATTCGAATGGATATTTTACGCTTATAGTAGAAGTTTTTATCATCGCAGTAAATCTCGTTAAACTTCATCTTAAACTTAACACAAAGTGGCATCCCTAACTAAGTGGCCAACAGCGTCAGCAGTGCTAAACGAAGAATGGTTCGGGGCCTGTATTTAGGGAAGCTGCAGTTGTGGCGCTTCTATGGGAGTGTGTACACAATCCCCCTTTGCAACCCAGGACATAACACAACCTGGAAAAATAAAGATGTTTCTCATTCTCTCACACAACATGGAAGGGTGGGATGCAGCCCTTTCGAGCTGGGATCCAAAGACCCAAGGGCCCCTCGTGATACTTGCGAGGACAGCGGCGTGCGCCAATGGGATCCTGGACAAAGGAACCCACTCGCCTATCTACTCGCGCAGAAAGTCATAATGAACGTTTTCTTCTGCATTTCCAGAAAGGATACTATCGTCTTTCGACGACAGTTGCCGGGAAACACGCTAATACACGTCCAATTTTCTTAACAGCGCACATGGTGTGTAAATTGCCGTCCTCGCTTCCTCTCATAAGCGCCCGACGCGAGTGAAATACTGCCCACATGAGAAACGTCTGCGCTTCGTGGTCATCACAACCATCTGTCTACGATGAATGTTACTTTCAAAAGGCTTGAGATACTTGGATGATACAACGAAACTCACGAAGTTCCTTTTACCTTCCAATAAAATGAATCGAAGCCCAAAGCTAACTTTTTCAAGAGGCGAAGCTCCCCAGGTTGCACCAAGAAGGATTACGAAAATTGTTTAATCCTCCTTGGGGTGTAGGCTAGCCCCTCATCGTCCGTCGCAGCCACCCCTAGTAGTTGGAGTGCTCACTAGTAGGCACTGCGGCGCTCCCTACACTCCGATGCATTAGAGGCACGTGGTTCAGTTTGATACGACACGCTAGATGGCGCATCTGCGCTCTCATTAGATGGATGTGCCCACACCGATGTGTATATGCGCCTGCCAAAGGCCAATTAAGGCTATAAAATGCGTTCATTCTTGGCGAGCTTCCTTTTTCGCTCGGTAATCAACGCTCTTCTACTATGAGTGACGCAGACAAGGCGGTGAAGCGTAGGGCTCGGAAAGCTCTGCAGAGCGCGCTCGCACATGACGTCTCTATATTCTCTCAAATGCATATCTTATCATCAAATGCAACCAATCACTATCCGAAGAACTCGTCTGAGCAAACTTTCCACAAAGGCCGTTCCAAGACCCACTCTCCCCGATGCTTCGCATCATCCACACATGGTGTAATACTTCATGTGCGAAGCATAACTTTCTGGCTCGGGCCTATGTCCCGCGGTGTCAGTGCTGTCCGCACCCACACTCGCATGCACAACTCTCCTGCTTCCCTCTCTCCAACAGCGGAACGTTACTCTCTGAGATTCTTTTCTACCACGTGCTTGCACTCGTTCTCCCCTTTCTCGCCTTTAGGCATCCCTTGCAGTGGCGTCAATACCCCCATTGCTCATGCACATCCCCTCCCCTCTCTCACCTCTCCTACGTTGCCCCTTCTATCACGTCGCAATGCCGATGCAGGGAGCGTCTGCTAACCTACGCTACAGTGGCTAGCCATTGTACTTACGTTCACTCCCCTCTCTCCTCTAGGCATTCCTCCCAGTGGCACCCACAGCGCATTGCGCATGTGCGCATGCTCCCTCCTTTCCTATGCTCCTCCCCTCCCTCCCCTCGCAACGCCAACGCAGGCAGAGGTTGCTACCAAGGTTCTTCATCGAAGAAACCGACCACTCATGCTGTACAAACGTTGACTGGCCAACCCGTATGTATAGGTATTAGATTTTGACCTCTTAGGTAGTGTCAGTGTGATTTTTCTCCTGGGTGTTGCTGAACTAAAGAAATCGCAACGTGCCCATTAACTAAAACTGGACTGTGGCTCTCCGTGTCCAATAGGAGTCTTCTGTCTCTCACTCCCCACTAGCAGCGATTGGCACGTTTCAGTAGGAAACAGTGGTCCACCCCTGCGTGCTTTGCGCCTCCCCAGCTTTCTCTCCCGATCGAGAAATGCCGCGATGAGCGCCAGCGTATATCCGTTGCCGCCGGTGTAAACGTAAGTGCCCGTGGCTTCGCATATACCCATTGTTCCCCCTAGAGGGACATGGCGTAATTTACTGTTTATTTATTCGCTGGGCAACAACTCAAATAATCCCCTATACACTCACCTAAAACAACTTGAAGATGGCAGCCACCTTTTTTCTTCTCACACGATATTCTAATCCTATCCCGCCCGCCTCCAAAATTCTTCTGCGCCTAAGGTTGCCCAAGGTAACTGGATGCCTCAGCAGGCTCGCCTCGTTGGATCAGTGGCTAGGGTTTTCGGCTGCTGACTCGAAGGTCGTAGGTTCGATTCTGGGCGTGGCGGTCACGCTTCGATGGAGGAGAGACGGTACAGGCCCGCGTACTGTGTGAACACCAGATTGTCGAAATTTCCGGAGCCCTCCACTACGGCATCTCATAATCATGTCTTAGTTTTGGGACGTAAAATGCCACATATAAAATTACTAAAAAAACGGGAGGCATGGCAAGCTTTCTGCTCAACAGCGTGTTTTTCACTACCTCCGTCATAGCGTGGCCTACCTCTTCGACGAAGCCTCGACGTGATGGGCTAACGTGAACATGTCACGCCATTGTGGCGTTGGAGTTATGTCGTTATAACGTCACCAGTTTGCGCTATCTTTGACGTTGTAATGACGTCTTATCGCCACTTCACGTCATCTTTAGCATCATTCGTGTTGACGCTGATGCCGCGAGGTGCTAATGCCACCAACGTCGACGGGCACATTTCTCATTGGATGATTTAGGGCTTCCACCCTAATCAACTCCGATATTCGGGTTTATGAACTACTTGCAAAAAAATTAGGACCGCCTAAAAGTTCCTTTCATGCACTTTCTGACACCATTTACGAGGAAATGTGTCTACATGTGTTTAGTGGATAAAAAGATAGTTCAAAGCACTCATTTGTCTTACGCCACAAAAATAAGGTCACAATACGTTAATAAAGTGTATTAAATAACTAATTAAAATTAAGAGAGACAAGTTTGTTTACAGGAAGGCAGAGAGGAGGGCTCGAGCGATAGCCTGCTCTAGCCTGCTACTCTTCTCTGGGAGAAGGGTAAGGGGAAGAGAAAGGATAATGGATGACGATGGTCAGATAAAGAGGTAAGTATATACAATTCTTTTCAGCTGAGAAAAATGTTAAAGCCGCGCATATAAATCAGCATTAAGCTGTAAATAATTACCTATCTTGAAGTCATGTATGCTACGTTTTTTTTTAAACAGTATGAAATTGTTTTTTCGTTATGTCTATTAAAAGCATAAAAAATTACACTTCTTGCATTGCCCTCAGGAAGCGGCCCGTCGAACAACTCGTTGAGCGTTGTAGTGTCTACGGTAATGTTACTATATGCAAGAGTGCACTGCAAAATGACTTGTAAAAAAGACAAATTTATATACAGGACGTTCATTTACTCCCGTGCTCTACATATCTCGCTCTTACTGGGTCCCTAGTTTATGGAAATAGCAAATACAACTGAAGTACACAATATTGCACATAGCATTCCAAAGGGTTTAGCCTATTTCAAATAGAATGACAAAAAAAACATTATGTCCTGCGGTACGTACTTAGCGTGTAGCGGCCACCTCCCACGTATACGGACTAACAGGAAATACCTGGCGGCTGCTTCCTAGGCTTTTTGGTCGGCGACAAGTGAACTTTTCAAAGACATCTCCCACTTGCTTTGAGGTATAGAAGGTATGGACGTTTACTCTCTCAGAGCATGTGTGCTCGATTTTTTTTTATTAGTTTTATAATACTACCTCGTTCTTGTCCAGCTTATGACACTGCGTGTGCGCCTTCATCTTCAACTCTCAGCACGCATACGCCTACGTGGTCAACTTATTCTCTATTTTTCATTCTCAGTTCTTATTTATTAGTACTTTTTCTGTCCAAATTGGAACTTTATCTTCATAATTTTCATTAATGTTAACCGGTTCTCGGCCAATTCTTCAGTGCAGTTATGAGTCACAGTATCAATTAAGGGTCTATCTACTCTACGATCTTGTGCAGTGGGTTGGCCCCAAACAACCACCAGAAGCCCACCAACTAAACAACCAATCAGCCTGATAGTGGAGTCTCCCTACGACAATGCACAGTCCTGTGTCACCCGAGGACTCGATCATTCGTCGGCTGGCCGACAGGCGACCCGCGGTCAGCCCCCGCAGCCTGTACCGAGGCGGGGAGAACGACTACCTCATCCTGGTCGGGTTCATGGCCACTCTGGTGGCCGTGTTCATCATATTCTTCCACTACGACTTCGCCAGCACGCGACTCGTCCGGCCGTCCAGCATCGTCTTCTCAACCACCCAGAACCACAAAGAGGGTGAGGAGAGAGAGATGGACAGCGGGGGCGCGCCACGCCTCTTTCATATCTATCGCATATACCAGGAGTCGACAGCATGCGGCCTCCGGGCCAGTATTGAGTGACCCCCCCAACACATTCACACAACACCCGTAACAGCGCATAAAACTGGAATGGACGACACAGACGGAGTGTAAAGAGTAAGGTTTTGGAAAGTTTGAGCACCAGAGAGTTGAAGACGTTTATTGGTGGAAGTGGCGTGGCCAGAGGGTGGCACACCAGGGCCATGTCCCTCCCCCCCCCCCCCTCCAATAAAAACATTTTTTACACCTTGTCACAGAAAAATAACCAATTCAAGAAGGTGCCCCCCCCCCCCCACGAAAAAAAATTTCTACCTATGCACCTGATTGGCGTCTATTATCGCGCAGGATACGTGATCACGTGGCCGGCCCGACGAGGAGTGGAGCAGGAACCGAGACACTATTCCGGAGTCTCGCCCGAGCGTGGCGCTCTTGACGACGTTCATGCCGAGTCGTCGCCGAAGGACCACGCTAAGCGCCACGGTAGCCTACGTGTTCACGCCACGGCCTTGCCAAGGATCCAACCGTCCACATTTTCCGCTCCGGATGTGCTGTGAGTATGGCTCTTTTTTTTTTCATAGCTACATAATCACAAATCGACGAGAAAAACGTATGAGCGCTCGGTGAAATGTATCGATACCCAAGTCCATTATTGTTTGTCCTGCTTCACAGTCTGTCTCTAATTATTTTTCTCATTCTTTCTGTGTAATTTTTTCACCCGTATTCTGCTCTCTTTTGTTCTATTTTAACTGGCTAGTTCGGCACAGCTTATGGTTTATATCCCTTTGACTATTTCCTTTCTGGAGTTCTGCAGAGCACAAAAAAAACAGATATGACTATACGAACACAAAAATTAGGTTCACCTGTATTGTCTAAATAAGAGCAATCTTCGTTTGGGGCAAAAGATCATTTACCATAACACTCTAAATCAATTTTCAACGTTCTATTATCATCTATGCAGCTAATTCTGCCAGAACGTAACTTCTGCGACTTACCATCATTCGGGGTGTCTAAGCTGAAATTTATAAATAAAACCTCCTTAAACGTTGCCAAATAAGGTTCCACTCTGGCCATGTTCATGTGCCGTGCTGAAGGGAATTAATTAGCTTAGCTCACCTAAGACGAGACGAAGGCTAGTGCGTGCAAACGCAGACTGTGTAAGAAAAACTGTAGGCGCAGACACAGCGCTGACCCTGTCACTGTTTAAAGCAGTGTATAACGTTGGCGATTTTTCAAAGGCGTGCGAAGAGTTCTCTATCAAGGGGAAGGGGGGGAGGGGTGAAGGTTCGTAGAAGCACCAGCCCTTTCTATTATGTCAATGTATAGGATAGACTTCGTTACCCCCCCCTCCCCGCGAATCGCAGCACCTACCCTTCCTATGTTGTCAGTGTGGAGCTTACTTTGCGCACCCCCCCCCCCCTAAAGGTGACTGGTGATGGCCCCACCCACCCCCTCTGCGCCCCCTTGCGGACGCTTATGCCTGTTGATGTTTAGCTTATTGAAATATTTTAGACACAAACCGAAAATCATTCTGACGGTGTATCCTCACTTGTATTTAAGTAGGTAGCAGTCAATGTTCCTGGCTTGTCAATACACTGTCAGATCTCACATGGTGACGCGGTGGTCAATACATGCCAAAAACAAAGCTCAAGATGCTCGAAACCATGGCCAATTAAACTAACACTCTGAAGAAATTATATAGACTAGTAACGTAACCAGGAAATATTCGTGATTATTAACCTCAAATTGCGAAAGACACTTCTCACTACCACCCTCGTAAGGTCACGATTACCAAGAAAAACGATGGGTATCCCGGGCTACGCATTTCCTTAAGTTTCGTGTTAGTGGAGCTGCACCAGGCGAAAGATTTATAATTACACGAATATTTACACGAGAATGTCTGTAACCAAGAAAATCCCGGCAATGTTTTTTTTTCTTTCTCCTAAGTTTTTTGTCACGAACTCATTGTTACAGGGCCCCTAAACAATCTCTAATAACGTAGGAAAGAAAAGAGCTCGTTATTCTACTCAGGCGTTTTCCATCTTTCCGGCATTATTCATGACGCCAGCAGTCTCTTCACGTGACGTCATGCGAGAATGAGCTGCCGGTCATTCCACATACGAGGATATCTGTATTGAATTATTATTTTCTTTGGTGGTGTTATGGCATACAGTTGCACGTCCGTTTTGCCGTGTGTCGCATGACTTTCGAGCGAGATCAATCGTTTCCACTTCGTTTCGGTGCGTTTTCGAGTGCGGGAGCACAGATAAGAGCGTTTAGTCGAAAAGCGAGCAATGCTGATAGGCCCAGTGCCGACATTGAACGAGTGCTTTGTTAAGGAATCGAATGCAAGGGGGAGTTAGCACTTGCGGGAAGGGTTGTGAAGAATAGAAAAAAAGAAAACACTCTCTCGCCTTTGAACTCGGAGTGCTTTAGGGAACATTTTAAAACCACTGAAGGTCTCCCATTCTCGCATCACCACCTGACCCAGATACTGCGACAGCGCTGGCAGCGACGCGTTACAAAACCAGCTCGCAACGTGGATCGACGCCAGCGTGGACCCTTGCGACGACTTCTACGCGCACACGTGCGGACGCTGGGTGGCCAACCACTCGGTGAAGTCCGCCGCCGTCATCGGAGACGACACGGTGTCATCGCAGGCCCGTGTGTCCCCGAGGCTTCTGAGACTGCGCGAGATGGAGACGCGGCTGCTCGCCGAGCTCAAGAGAGGCACGGACGACGGCTCCCTGCGCTGGCCCGCCAGGCTGTGGGAGGCGTGTCGTAGTCCCGAGGCTGAGCCTAACTCGAAAGAGGTGGGAAAGTCTTACAAGGCGGGCGCATTTATATGTTTTTCGGTGAGCGCGGCCTTAGAGAAACACGGCAGACGCGTGGAGGGGTTCAAAGACGCACGTGACCTACTTTGCTGGTGTTGATATGTGGGGTTTAACGTCCCAAAACCACCATATGATTGTGAGAGACGCCGTAGTGGAGGGCTCCAGAAATTTTGACCACCTGGGATTCTTTAACGTGCACCCAAATCTGAGCACCCGGGCCTTTAACATTACCGCCTCCATCGGAAATGCAGCCGCCGCAGCCGGCACACGAACCCGCGACCTGCGGGTCAGCAGCCGAGTACCTTAGCCAATAGACCACCGCGGCGGGGCCCTTTGCTGGTGTCACCATGTTGAGATGCCATGAGGTATCGTCAGTTTTACATAATTTTGTGCAGTCAGTATGGCGTGAAATACTGGCATAATCACATCGCATCATCGTTTCGTCAAAGGCGGGCCGATCTTAACAACAACAGTATTGATAATTATCGGGATTCAACGTCCCAAAATCACGATGTCATTATGAGGGACGTCATTGCACAATCCTCCAGAAACTTCGACAGCCTATAGGGTTCTTTGACGTACACCTAAATTTATGCACACGGGCTTCTAGTATTTCACCCCTATCTAAATGCGGCCGCCGCAGTCGGAATTCGATCGCGCAATTTCCATGTGAGCACTCGAGCTTCGCCCGTGTGCTCAGATTTGGGTGCACGTTAAAGAACCCCCGGTGGTCGAAATTTCCGGAGCCCTCCAATACGGCGCCTTTCATAATCATATGGTGGCTTTGGAACGTTAAACCCTACGAATCAATCAATCAAGCACTCGAGCTTCTTAACTGAAAGACCATTGTGGCACCTGATACAATGCAAATTTTGAATGAACTAACAGTGTCAAGTTAATTTTATATATACCGATGAAAACTAACAATTATTCTAATAGAAGATTAGAGACCGATATTAGATGTAGTTGTAATGTAAATGTCAAGGAAGAAAAGTGGATAAAGAAATCACTTTTCTATGGTAGGATCTGAACCTGCGACCTTCGAATGACGCATTCGATGCTCTACTACTGAGCTACTGTGGCGGTCGCTTCCTTGTCCACTTTATAGGGCATATATGTGCACTTAAACGTGGGATCATTAGTCAGCGCCACCTGTTGCCATTGCGGCAAATGTGGCACGCTCTTCTTGCCTTTTGGCGGCCCGCGGCATGTGATCTTATTACTAGCTGGTAGCTGATCAATAATCCCTCACATACTGCCTGAAAGAATCAAGTCTGCCAGAAAGGCACCCTCGCTATGGATGAAAGAAAAAATATGTAAATTTAAGCACTCTTTTTTGTTGTTGTTGGACAATATTCTGGAAAAATAACAGACAATGATGCCAAGAGAAGTATAGGGAATCTTATTAGAAGGAATTTATGTTCTCTGACCATGCAAAGAAAGTGTTTCGGGGCCCCTTTAACACGCTTCAACTTCGCACAGCACACTTGTCTCTAGCACTTCACCTCCACCGAAAGTGAAACCGCAGCGCCAGGATCGAGGCCGCGACAATCGATTCAGCAGCCGAGCACCATACTACCACGTTTGACGTTGGATAAGAACGACTCCCAAGCATTTCCCCGAGGGTGAACATGGTTAAGCGCGAATACACGGGGTGATGCTATGAGGGGTATTTATTAATTCGCACTATTATATTTATTAATCACACTATGGTGCCTTTATGGTGTAATGGTTCCTGGGAATCGCAATTTGATCACACGGGGGAGTTAACGTTAACTAACTGGCGAATGCCAACGGATTTTAACTTTACTTCCCCTCACGACCCGCTCTCGACGGGAGACTGAGAGAGAAGGTGGGCACGCGAGAGGGGTGCGCGCGCAGCTGCAGCGAGCGAGGAGAGCGGAGGAGCAAGCGAAGGGGGAGGGGGTATAAGGCGCGTTACTGACACCGATATCAGCGTCGCGTCCGTGGCTTATTCGGTAGAGCGTCGCGCTGCGGCCCGCCAAGTCATCTTTCTTTTAAAGATAGAGAGAAGACTGCGGACGCCGCCGACGGCGGCGGATGATTTGGGGTCGCTTATAAAGTGTATTCACACTTTTAAAAAAAATTGCCTACTTGCCACATAGCGGCACTCCTGGCAAATACTTGAGGAGTTGCGAGGTGTCACGGGGGCTCTGGTGTGGCGCCGTGGGTGCGGCTTTCGCTTAGGGTTGCTCAATAGGGCTTACCGGGGAAGCACGCTAACAGTGGCCGCATTTCCGATGGTTCACCTTCTGTGGGACGACCCTTTACGCCACTCATTTCGAGTTGTAGGTTACGTGTGTTCGACAGATATCGTTCGTGTAGCACGCTGTTAGCTCGCAATCTTATCGCGCGGCCACAAACTATCGGCTTTGATGCGTGCGTTTCAGAACACCACGAATCCTACTAAAGTGATTGTATGCCTTGCTAGAAGTGCTCCAAGACGCCGATGCTCGAGCGCTCTCGGATCGTGATGACGGAAATAGTGCAGAGCTTACGGAAAACGCGCGTGCAAAAGCGCTCCGGTGTAGATGACCATGCTTTACTTAAGGGTTCACGATGCCACGTTCAGAGAGCAGTGCTAAACTATCCTTGTGTTTATTTTATTTTATTTTTTTGCAAATAAAAAGGTGAGTTGCCTTTCGTTACTTATTGATGCTGGAAATCTCTAGTGTGATGTAAGGGTGGTGTAGTATATAGACGGAAAACTTAGCGTGTTATGGGTCACAGGAAACTTTGTATGTGCAAGCGCCTCCTAGCATAGCATATAGCCATGCATTGTATAGTTTAGTGAAGCTGGCGGTGTAACGAAACATTGTGTGTTCGGGAATACGCGTGAAAAACAAACGAAATGAATTAGTGCCGACGAAAGTTAAAGAGTACATATAACAATAAATTGCCAACTGTTGCACGCAAAGGACTATCTCAAGGTATCAATGTTGCCAGGCATTTTTTATGAAGTCCCGTTTGCAGATTGTCAACATGTTTATCTCGGGGAGAGTGGTGATTTTGAAAGACGACTGACAGACCATATGAATGACCTCAGGAAGAAGAACGTAGTGTCCAACGCACAAGCGGAACTCGTGGCTACATCTAATCAAAGCATTGACTGGACCATGGCATCTGTAGTTGCAATGGAAAAGAAATAGCGCCAGCGTCAATATCTAGAATCCCTTCTTATCTCAACTACGCAAACAAAAAACGCTGAACAGAAATGATGGCTATCTACCACCAGCGTACAAAAGGTGTTTTAATTTGGGAGCGTCCTCAAACGGACATAGTTATGCCCATTTCGCAGGGCCACTGTACTGTGAACAACGCTACCGTTCCTTAACTGAAACGACATATTTTTCTTGTTCTAAACGTTTGTTCGTCCGCCTAGGCGGAACAGTGGCTAAAGTGCTCGGCTGCTGAACGGAAGGTTGCGGGTTCGATCCCGGCCGTGGCAGTCGCATTTCGATGGAAGCGCAATGGTAGAGGTCCACGTACTGTGCGGTGTCGGTGCACGCTAAAAAACACCACGTGGTCGAAATTTCTTAAACCCTCCACTACGGCGTCTCCCGTATTCGCATCGTAGTTTTGGGACGCCAAACTTCACCTGGTTGATTGATTAATTTGTGGGGTTTAACGTCCCAAAACCACCATATGATTATGAGAGACACCGTAGTGGAGGGCTCCGGAAGTTTTGACCACCAGGGGTTTTTTAACGTGCACCTAAATCTGAGTACACGGGCCTACAACATTTCCGCCTCCATCGGAAATGCAGCCGCCACAGCCGGGATTTGATCCCGCGATCCGCGGGTCAGCAGCCGAGTACCTTAGCCACTAGACCACCGTGGCGGGGCAACTTCACGTGGTATAATTAAACCTAATGTTCTAAACTTGCCGCACCGTGGCGCCCTGCGGGCCGTGGCTTGCCGATCTGTGTTTTATGGTATTTCATTTTGAGAGTGCTGCTGGCAGATGCTTATAAGATAACAAGCTTTATGCTCAATAGACAAAGCGGAATGTCTGAGCGCGTGCCTCTTCATTCGCTGAATATAATCAATAACTACAATGTACAAATTCTCTGCAGCAATATTCCCTATATCCGTCCCACCATAGTCGCAGTTTCGCTGACTTCCACTTTTCGCACTTGTGAATAGGCCCCAAAATATTTTTAACAGAGCTCTTAGGCGCTAATTATTCCGTTAAGTGGTGTCGCCGTAAGTGTAACAGATAGAGCAAACAAGGAAGAAAGAGAGTGAACGAGGACGAAAGAGAGCGAACGCAGAGTCTGTCAATATCGTGAGCCACTGGCCCCTAGACGCACTTTCTTTCTCCGCCACGTGCGCTAGCCCCCTTGGCCCTTCGGTCGGAGCACGTGTGCATGCAGGGCAGTAGGGTTGAGAGCTGGACTGGTTGGTGAGACATCATTTAACCATCTTGTCTTCTTCGTCCCCGTGAATTTGCGCTACTACACCATGTGGTTAAATGGTGCATGCAGGGCTAGCCCGTGCACTGTGACTGGCTTCGCTTGCCGTAACGAGGTTGTTGGTGTTTTGTTTATTTCGCTACACCTGTAATGTACAGAGTTGTCTGCGTAGCGCTCTAGTATTGGAACTTTCTGCGGCAACGTAGAGCGAAAGCTACATTGCCACAACTGCGGATAGTGAAACTTGAAACAAAGTTGTCATTGCCCCAGTACAAAGCTGCGTTTAATTACGCATTATAGGCGGTATCATAACCGTTGGTGAGCATTTATTTTCTCTGTTTCCCGTCTGCGCAGATATTCAACAAAATTTTAGCCGAGCATGGCTTACTGGGCTTTCCCTTCAATAGCCATTCCGACGCCTCAGCGTCGGAAATCAAGGGCAGTGACCTGTCGACGGTGGCAGCCAAGGTCCTCGCTCTATCGGCCATTCCTGCTATCGTCGATGTACGAGTCGTCAAGGTGGGCCTATAATCACGCGCGTTTGCTCTGAAAGAGGCGAAAAGCGAGACCAGTATTTGAGTAGGGCGGAGCGTAACCTAACCTAACCTAACCCAACCTAACCCAACCCAACGCAACTCAACCCAACCCAACCTAACCTAACCTAACCTAACCTAACGTAACCTAACCTAACCTAACGTAACCTAACCTAACCTAACCTTACCTAACCTAACCTAACCTAATGTAACCTAACCTAACCTAAACTACACTTTATGTACGTTCGTGCACACATTAATAAATATTTGTGATTGTGATTGACCTTAATATTTTGCGCTTCGCCGATGACATTGTATTGCTGAGTAACTCAGGGGACGAATTGCAACTGATGATTACGGAGTTTGACAAGGAGAGCAGAAAGGTAGGTCTTAAAATTATTCTGCCGAATATGAAAGTAATGTACAACAACCTCGAAAGAGAACAGCGCTTCGAGATAGGTAATAGTGCACTAGAAGTTGTAAAAGACTATGTCTACCTTGGACAAGTAATAACCACGGAGCCAAACCACGAGATTTAAGCATCTAGAAGAATAAGGATGAGAGGAAGCACATCTGACAAGCACCCTCAAATCTTTACAGGTAGATTGCCATTATCCCTCAAGAGGAAGGTATATAACAGCTGCATCTTGCCGGTACTTAGCTATAGCGGAGCAGAAACTTGGTGACTTGCAAAGGGGTTCAGCTTGCATTGAGGACGGCGCAGCGAGTAATGGAAAGAAAAATGGTAGGTGTAACCTTAACAAACAAGAAGAGAGCAGAGTGGATCATGGAACAAACCTGATGCTTTAATCATAACGTCTTGTTTTGCGCGTACAAATGTTTTTAAATACAGTTTTTTTTTTCACGTGCGATAGCGCTTTGGAATTCCATGCCTGGTAGCATTCGCGGCTTGCCACTAAAAGACTTTAATGTTGCTATTGATGAACATATTCCTAACATAATCAACTTCATTTTCAGTATTGATTTTTTTAGTGTTCTTGCTTGGCCGTTTGCATCCCGGCTGCGGCGGCAGCATTTCCGATGGACGCGGAAATGTTGTAGGCCCGTGTGGTCCGATTTGGGTGCACGTTAAAGAACCCCAGGGGGTCGAAATTTCCGAAGCCCTCCACTACGGCGTCTCTCGTTATCACATGTTGTTTCTGGGACGTTAAACCCCTCATATCAATCTTGTTTTGCAGTTTGTGTTATTTTCTCGAATTTTTTCCTGCTTCTAGTATTGTATATTATCTCATTCCTGCTATAGCCCTGTATAGGGCTGCAGTATTTTTAACTCAATAAATAAATAATAAATAAATAAGCATCCTTCATCTTCTTAACTAAATATCACAATATAATTGCGCGTTCTACAGCAACCCAATCTCTAATCAAACAGTGTAGTGCTGCTCCTTGAAATATCCTAAAATCGCTCCCTCATTTCACTTTGCTTCTGTGGTAGTTACTCAGAGCCAATTTCTTACATCACTGTCATCAAGTAAATCCTCTTGCAAACTGGGCTTAGTCTAGTTGACCTTCCTACATTTCTTATATACTTTCTTCTTTCTCTCTCTCCGCCTCTCTGACTGTTCGTTTAACGCTCTTTGTTGCCATACCGCTTACATTTAGTAGCGAATCTCCTAGTTTTTTTAATGAAAATGCATTTTTTAGTCGGGCTATGTCAGTCATCCGGCGTTGTCCGTGGCGTCCGCGGGAATGTCCGCGCTCTGGCATGTGTTATCTCTCCACTCTCACTCTCTCTCTCCCATAGCAACGGCTGCGGGCACGCGCGCTTATCCTTGCTCGTAGTAACCGGAGAATTTAGTGCGAGAGTGTAGGAGAGGGTGGGTGCAGTGCTGTGCCGCTACTTCTCTCGCAGTTTGCTCCATCTCCTCCCTGCGCCCCACTCTTCCGTCCGCTCGCTTTTCACCCTTGACCGTTCGCTGGCTAGGCGCCTCTCAAGGCGATGGCAGAAGTCGGTGAAGGCGAATGTCTGACGGCAACGGTGCCCTTTCTCGGCGCAAGAAATCATTTCCGCCCAATTTCCTTCGGGGAAGTGGGGGCAATTTTTTCTTCGCTGCATGTCAGCGCTTCTCACATACAAATATTATAACTTTTCTCTGTCCATTTACTCTCTTTCATATTCCTCAGCCTGTCGTCAAACCTTATTTTGCCCTGAGCGTTTCTCGCCTCAAAACTTGTCCATCTCATATCGCCCTCTACAGCCTCATTTGTCGTCTTCCTCCGAGCGCCCAGCGCAAGGCATCCCACAGTCCTTTGATTTAAATCCATTCCCGACTGTACGTGTGGCCTTCTGCACACCACTGAGGCCCCAGAAGTAAGCCCCGGAACCAACCTATTTCAGCGTCATTCAATCAGGGATCTCGATGTTTGGCTGCGATGGCTTCTCTCAGATTTTCATATCTGTACCACTCTTGCATTAGCTGAGCGGCTGATGTGTCATGGTGTGCTTCTTTCTTCGTCCTCGTTTATTGGGCTAAAAGATACCTAAACGAAGCAACAAATGCGCTTGAAGCCTATAAGCATGAAGAATAGGCCTATCTTTGTACTACTCATCATTCCCATGGTGCCTGAACGATTGCATCGCCGGAGTTCCTTCTAGTAAGCATTGTTCGAAACTCGATGTTATTATTGCTCCGCTGCACCACCTGCCGGGCAATCGAGGTTGACCACTGAAAAGGCAACATCAGAAAACCGTTCCCAAACGCGGGTTATTTGAACTTCACTAGCAGTGCGCAGACCACTAAACCACGATTTACAAAGATATTCAAACGAAGCATCTCATTGGCAAGAAACGGTCCCTTTTAGGTTTCTTAATCACTTATTCAACAATTCGTGCGGATTTAGAGGAGCCATGACACCTATAGAGGAACACACCTAGCATGTACAAACCAATCCCCTCTGCAGCTGGTACCCCTTCGTGTTTGTCACTGAGGTCAGTGGCGTTAACCTCACAGTTCCCATCACGCTCCTGTTTCATTTTCTGTTTTTTAAGACGATAGTCTTTCTTCGAATACTTGAACGCCACAATTTTTGTCCGTCCGTCCGTCCGTCCGTCCGTCCGTCCGTCTGTCCGTCCGTCCGTCCGTCCGTCCGTCCGTCCGTCTGTCTGTCTGTCTGTCTGTCTGTCTGTCTGTCTGTCTGTCTGTCTGTCTGTCTGTCTGTCTGTCTGTCTGTCTGTGTCCCATCACGCACCCACCTAAAACGAGTAGGTGAAATCCATCGTTTTCTTCGCAGTTCATGTATTGACACTGACTTCATGTATTGAGACTGACATAATTTCGAGGGCCGTTGTCATTCTGCGCGCACGCAGTGGCCTGTCACGAAGAACTCCAAGAACCCCTCAACTGACGGATTCGTGTCCCGGAGTGGCGGCCGAGCTCACTGGCTGGCCCGGATCGAGCCGCCCGAACCGCTGTTCCTGGACTTCGCTCGCATGAGCCAGGCGAACGATGAGTGGTACCTGACGGCAGTCGACGCGGTCGCCGGACACCGGGACCAGCACGGACTGTTCCGCGTCGAGCAAGCACTCGTGGAACTCGCCGCGCGCAGGCGGGGAGTCCACGATTACGCGCTGACCAGCGTCGGCAGCCTGGCGCACGGTGCCGGCTGGAACTGGACCCAGTTTCTGACGGTCGTCTTCCGAGGCACGTTTAGTCAGTCACCGTAGCTTATCGGGCAAGTTGGTGGCGTGCGTCAGATTGTTGCATAGCGCTAACTCGCGCGCGAAGAAGAGACGACAGGACAGGCGTAAACTTTTGACTGACTGTTTACTTTTAGAAGCAACAGTGCAAATCTATAGACCTGTACACTAAAGGTCTAATCATTGCACAAGAAAACCTGCCTAGTCCTGAAATGCCAATTGATTTACAGTCAGCGCCACCTGACGGGCAGCTACGTCAGCTATGAACAATCCTCGCGACAAGTGCGCCTTCAACAATCTCCCATGTAGCCTTGTCGTCATTCACATACACAACTGTGCGCTCTGAACAACGCTTCACACCAACAATAACCACAATGCGCAAAGACGGGCTCTCCTCGATGTCGGCCGAACTTCTGATTATTTTTCCTAAGCCTATCCTTCAGGCATTTCTACGGCTTACCAATGTAAACCTTGCTGCAAAAAAGTAGTAAGGCATACACTACACTGTTTGCATATTTTAACTTGTTGTAGCTCGGGCAGAAGACAGGAACCAGAAAAAGCCACAAGAAGGCTAACTCTCAATTAGTTGAGAGGTATCACTCCTGTGTCTTTTATTTGTCGCTATCTTTTGGACATGCAAAAACAAGTTAAAATATGCATACATACCAACTCGCCCAGCTATCAGTTTTACTATTACACATAGAACAAATGAATGGTGATGTTTCTTCACACATTCAGTACGTCTCTTCGCTAACGGGTATGTGGCCTTGCAAATGTTCTACGCTTTCTTTGGGACCTAAAAAAAGCTTATTTACTTTAACCTTCCTGTCAGCTTTCTTCCAGGCGTGTGATACGTTGTGAATGTACGGCACGATAACCTTCTTGATTTTTTCGAGAACCTTCTTGACCCACGTTCCAACCAAACTTGTAACACAGTTTCGGCTACTAATAAGTACATGGCCGGGGGAATGGAATAATGAAAGGCACTCTTTCTCATTACCAAACTGCTAGACATATTATGTGGGCATTAGTGTCGAAGAGCGTTGTCAAAACAGAGATCAGGAATCGTTCATCAGCTTGAAATGACATGATTGATACGAAAGCACCATGTCATTGTCACGCTTGAGACCATTGCGAATAAGGCATTGAACGCGTCGTCAACCAGTAAGAAACTCTGAGCCAGAACTTTATTTAACTTGGAGCATTGGCTCAATCATAGAAACAAAAAGTACATGTGACGTAACAATGACGTTGTGTAAAGCCATGTGCGTGCTCATGCGCGACATCATACGTCTTCTTGCACGGGAACATTTTTTTTTCTGATCTACGGCTTCTCTGCACCAAGTTTTTTTTTTTCACAACCACTCCAAATTACAAAGCTGCTTAATTCGGCAGGCCGAAGATGCCACTAGGGCTTACGGGGTGATGGCCGTTGTCGAAGCTGCGTCCCTATCTCCTCCGAAGCGTGGCAGAAGGATTTTTCGCTGATTAAATAAAGTTTGTTGATCATAATCACCATCATGCTCCACAGCCACACCCATCTCAAGCATGCTATGGTGGCAGTGGTTGTCGGTCACTCGGCTGGACTCATTGTCAGCTTATCTATGTCGATTGCAACACAGTTTCCGCCGCCTATTTCTATAGTTAGCTAATAGTAAGGTAATGAAATATTTTTATGTAGCTAGTTTATTTGTGTAGTTTGTACTGTTATAGGTGCCCTGTTTCATTGATTGATAATTTTGTAAATTGCTACTAATATTCACAAAGGATCCGGAATTGAATTTTACGAAAGGAAAGGAGCACACAGCTTGGACAATTTATTTAACGTAGTCACGCACAATTGCAACCCACCCACCGCTTCTTTATTAGAGCACAAATAAGTAATCGCACAATGTCCCGCATTCTGTTTCCACAAATTAGTTTTTACTTCACACTTAGTGTTCCCAATGTGTGGGTTCGTGAGTAGTGGAAGCTTGAGTACATGAAAAATCCTTGGGACACAATGTGTCACTAGAGCCAAGCTTTCAACAGGCAGTCTTGTCTTCCACAAGCCTGCAACCTTCTCCGTGGTGGCAGCTTTGAAGAAGGCAATGCCACTGTTCGAGATGCCATCTCCAGCGATACCACAGTTTCCTGGAATTATTCATGTTTCTCTTGCCTATGCCATCTTAGCATGTGTGTTTTTTTATAACCTTAAAGGGACCGACAACTACGGATGGTTGCTTCTCCGCGGAGGTCTAGTGGCTAAGCCACTCGGCTGCTGACCCGCAGGTCGTAGGATCAAATCCCAGCGGTGGCGGCAATTTCGATGGAGGCGAAAATGCTGTAGACCCGTGTGCTCAGATTTGGGAGCACGTTGAAGAGCCCCAGGTGGTTGAAATTTCTAAAGCCCTCCACTACGGCGTCTCTCATAATCAAATGTGGGTTTGGGGACGTTAAACCCCACTTGCCAATCGTCAATTGCTTAACGTTGAAAATAAGAGTGTTTTTTTATTATGTATTGCAGCTCTATAGGTGAAAAGTATATTTGTTAGGGAAAAGGTGCTGCACGCTGAGTAGTGACCCTGCTTTTGTGGCAATCAATGTGGAACATGTCACCCGCGGCACCTACAGGCGTAATGCAAGCATGCGCAGTAAAGAGCCTCGCACAAACGCCAACAACCCCTGCTGTCAACTCCCACTGTTTGCATTATGTCTTGTGGCCATTAGGTTTCACACTCTCCGCAAAATGGCTGCGAATGTTTCACGACATTTTCTGCGTTACCACTCCCTCATTCGACACTTGACTGCTAAGCTTTTCGTTGCACTCAAAAAAACAAATACCATAAAAAGTTATTGTCGATCCCTTTAAGCCTAGCTCCTGTTCTGCGCAGGCGTGGCCACATTCGGCCGGCGCACACCCGTCCTCATCAAGGGTGCCGCCTTCGAACGACAGCTCGCCGCCCTGATTACGCAGCTGGGCTCCGCGCATCTGCGCAACTACCTGGCATTCCGCATGTACGTGCGCTACGCTCCGTTCCTGGAGCGCAGGACGGGTCGCTTCGGCCGCCTGGCGCAGCTGTCGGCGGCGCGTCAGCCCGGCTGGCAGGACGGAGACCCGGCGGTCGACGCCACCGATTTGCGCTGTCTGAGACTGGTGACGCGCGCGGTTCCCGAGCTCATGGCGTTCGTCTACTGGAACGGGGTCAGGCTGGGAAATCGTAAGCGGAAGGGAAAGCAGGGCCGGAAGCGGCGAGAGAGGTTGCGACGCCATTTCCGGGACATGACGCGCCGCTTGGTGGACTGGATCGTCAGCGCGTCGGCGCGTGAGGTGCGGGGCCATCGTCACTCCCAGTCTTAACTTGAACGTGGCACATGTCTAATCAGCGCGGTAAAAAACCAAGGAAAAAGACGGGATGCAACGCTACACTGCAAGTGCGCATTTGCTGACGAAAAAAAATAGATAAAATACACATGAAGCGTAGAAACCACCTTAACGGAGGGGAGTAGGAGTTAGGGAGGATTCAGTCTCAAAATGCTGAATATATTCACGACTAATCTTTTAAATCAATCAACCTGTACATGCAGTATCTAACTAATCAGTTATTTAGCGGGCGTTTTTTCAGTTACACTTATTTTCCTTGCACCGTTTTCTCCGCATATTAAGACTTGTATGTTTTTCTGCATGTTTCCCGTGAGTACTTACGTTATAAATTCGTCCGCTGGTGTGTTTCTTTCGCCTTGACCTGCGTACGTTGTACGCGCTACTTAGATATATCTCACGTAGAGGTTACATACCAGCTAGCCCAACTCTCGTCTGTGCCGCAGTTTTTAAGGGCGAAGCTCCTTATAGCGGCACTCTTTCATCCCTCGTGGCCGTAGTAGTAGTGTGTAACAAGTATCACATTTTGACCTCCAAGGTGGTACCGGTGAGAGATTTCTTCTGTGCGTTGTTGAACAATAAAAGATAGTGCTCAATGTACATGCCAGCGGCTGCTAAGGGAGAGAGAGAGACAGGAGAATTCGGCTTTCAGTTAACGCGCACGCTGCAAATTTTTTATTGTTCAACAACGCACAGAAGACAAGAAAGGGTTGCTACGTTATACTCGCTTGGCGTAACCTCCTTGGTTTTAGATAGGTTTAGCGAGCGTTGGGCCGCAGGGCCATGAATACAGTGAACTAGTATATACCATGAACTCGAGGTGGTTAAAGGTGGGAAGTAGACGCGAAGAAAAAGCTGAATTCTCCTGTCTCTCATTCCCCATTAGCAGCCATTGGCATGTACATTGAGCAGTCTCTGACAAGAAAGGGTTGCTACGTTATACTCGCTGGGCGTAACCTGTTTGGTTTTAGAAAGGTTTAGCGAGCGTTGGGCCGCAGTGCAAGCCATGAACTCGAGGTGGTTAAAGGTGGGAAGTAGACACGAAGCGCAAGCCGTAAGAAAGTGTGCGTGTGCCTCCTCTCGTTCAGTCCTTGGAATGTCCGCTGGATGGCGGTGCTTCTATATGAGGAATATATGATGAAAAGATGCGAGATGGTGGTACTTGGAGTGTTGAATTGGTGGACGAACGGACACACGGACAGATGCATGGACGGACACACGGATGGTTGCATGGACGGATGGACGTATGGACGGACGCCGGAGCGGATGCCTGGATGAAAGCAGGGACGGACGCACAGATGAACGTGTGGAGGCACGAACAGACGCACGCACGGACGGGCGGATGGACGCACGGGTGGCCCAAACAGACGCACGCATGGATTGACGGAAGCAAGAACGAATGGACGGACGGATGCTTCGCCCCACTATCCATCATTCACTCTGTGGATATGCTGCCAGTTTTTTATCTACTCATCTTAACGAGTAGAGCACGCACTAACCAACGCACTCGTAGTATATTTCACCAGTATATTTCATCGTATAAATAAAAACACAAGCAGGTCAGAAAGCCGTAAGCATGGACGCGTATAAGTAGAGTGAGCTGCACTTGCGCAGCGGTTTTTCTTAGCAGTCTGTACTCCCAAGTGTACAGTCGTTGACAAACGAAACGTGAACATAAAATTTGAATTGTGAAAGCATATGGCAAGCGAGAAGTCAAAAGTGCGATTTCCGCCAGTAATTGTGTGAATAATTTCTAAGGTCTCCCGATAAGCCTACGAAAGTAAATCATGCATACATTATGCATTGTAGTGAAAATGAAACTAAAACAACGTGTTTCGGCTAGCCTCAACTTTTTTTTTGTTTTTCATAAAGCGCTGTTACCAACGCAGGTGAACCAGACAACACATTAACAAAGTGGAGTGAGGGTTGTGTTCTAGCCTTTTTCCTATGATGCTTGTTTTTTATGTTCACTACGGTTGTTCTTAAGCACGCTTCTCTGAACGCTCATGGTTAAAAACGTTGATGTAGTTTTGGAAGAGCTCGAGCATCGTTCTAAGCCAGTACTGCGTCATGCAACTAGATAACATATGAAATCTAGTGCTTCCCCTACGGAAACAGCCCCTTCATCATCGGGTATGGTGTTACATATCTGACGTAAAGTACTAGTCTATTCGACTGGAGTAATGACCACGCTTGTGACAACCCCGCATTATTTTCTCGTAACCACCCGTCGTTGAACTCGCAAATTAAAGCGGCTCAAAAAGCGTAATCCCCAATCAGCTATTATTCAAGAACTTAAACTAAAATTGGCACATGCTTTGCATGAATCAAAGGATTTTTACTTTAAAACAACACTGCTAAACTTTTTAAAAAACGATCCTACGAAGTTTTGGAACTTCCGGAGTGATAGTAAGAAGCAGGTATCACATATATTTGTCGATGGTAATACAGTTACAGATCTGAAGCTCATTGCGGAACATTGCAACAAATTTTTCCACAGCCTGTTTGCTGAGGCGAGTCTTAATACGCCTCAGCAAAGAGTGTTTCAGCCTAATGAAGTGGACTTTATATCATATTCTGGTGTTGTTGCAATGATCTTGAAGTTGAACACTAAATCATCTTGTGGTCTAGGCAATATCCCTAATGTTTTTCTTCGTCGTTATGCAGAGAGTATTGCTCATTTTGTCACTGTGATCTTTCGATGTTCGCTGTTGAGTGCAAAACTACCCAGTGATTAGAAGAGGCTCATAGGGCTCGTATTGTTCCTGTGTTCAAGAAAGGAAACCATTTACTTGTAGAAAACTACCGTCCCATCTCATTAACATCACCAATATGTAAAATGCTTGAACATGTAATATCTAAGCGCATTGTCGAATTCCTCGAACAATACTCTATACTAACTAGTTTTCAGCATGGCTTTAGAAAAGGCTATTCAAGCATAACTCAGTTAGTCTCAGTGGTTCATTTATTTGCAGAAACTCTGGATAAAAATGTACAAATGGACGTCATATTCCTTGATTTTAGTAAGGCATTTGATAAAGTTATTCATCACAAACTACTTACAAAACTAAAGGACATCAATCTACCCGACATTTTCATTGCCTGGATTCAACACTATTTGACAGAACGTTCACAGTTTGTTTCAGTAGATGGGAACAATTCGAGCTCTCTTCCTGTAACATCAAGCGTGCCACAGGGTAGCATTCTGGGGCCGCTAATATGTTTAATTTATGTAAACGACATTGTAAACACAGTACTACCAGGAACTCAAATCAGACTGTTCGCGGATGATTGTGTGCTATTTCGTAGAGTTACCTGTTCTAGTGATCAGCAGAACTTGAACTTGAGTCTTAATAACATAATAAGCTGGTGTAATGACAATGGTATGGCACTCAACGCACAAAAAACTGTTTATCTTTGTATAACTCGTTCAAAAACACCTCTACATTTTACCTATAACCTGGGCTCATCATCACTACAACAGGTTAACAACTACAAATGTCTAGGCGTAACAATAACTAATGACCTCTCTTGGAACTTACACATAGACAACGTATGTTCTGCTTTCTTCCGTAAGCTGTGTTTTCTAAAACATAAGCTTAGAAATTCTCCTTCTGACATGAAACAACTCAGCTACTTTACGTACATAAGAGCAAAACTAGAATATTCTTGTGTTGTAAGGGACCCCTTTACTAAATCTAACATCAAAAAACTAGAAGCAGTGCACAGAAAGGCTGTTAGGTTTGTTTATTCAAAGTTTTAAATTACGGACTCGCCGACTGAACTTATGACTGCTAACAACATTGAAACGCTTGAATTACGGCGAAAAAGGAACCACCTTAACCTTCTGTATCTTCTTGTTAATTATAAGTTAGCCCTTGACCCGCGTGCATATGTATCTCCTCTGTCCACTGGGCATACACGTCATCATCACGCCCATTCTTTAACCCCGTATTTTGCTAAAACCAACGCGTTCCGATTTTCCTTTTTTCCGCGTACTGTATCAGAGTGGAACTATCTAACTGATCTTAGCCAATTTTCTGTTGCTTAGAGCTAATCTACGCACTGTTAATTTTATGTTATGTATCCATAAAATGTTACATTTTTGCCATGTTATCTTTTATGTGTTCTATTAATCGGTGTTTCGATTCCATTTCTCTTAATATATTCTTATTTTTTCACATGTGTTTTTGTTTATATCCTGCCTCTTGTACCTGTCCTGCTTGGACCAGTTCTTGGTCTGCAGTATTCAATAAATGAATAAAATAAATAAACTCTAGTGGATCGTTATGATGATGGCCGTGGCATCCGTGCCATAATACACCGCCCAGAGATAGCACTGAGTGGACTATATATTTTATCACGCCAGTCTGGTAGTGTGGTTTCTACTAACGCCAGCCTAATATTTGCGTCGAAAGTAATTACGACATGTGTCTTTGGTGCTAATTTTATAGAACAGCTTCACCTCAACACTTTGTGTTCAGTTGATTGGCTTCACCTTGTGCCTTTGTGCGTGCAGCAGTGCATGCTTTACAGGCCTGTTCGATGAACACTTGGAAGTAGTTTTGTAGTTTAGTGGCTCTTTAAAAGACAAGTAACGTCCCCTGTACCTTCCTTAGCTTCACTGCCTGTGTGTGTGTTCATTAAGGCTGCAAATACGATATCGGTTCAGTGCTGCGACGCTGATTTTTCCTCCCATAGGTGGCACTGTTCAATGGAACGTCACGCAAGCTATCCCGCCGATTCCTACGGGCCACGGGCTCGCTGCGGCGGCAGCTTTTCCTGCCGGATTGGTTGGACAAGCCCCGGATGCGCATGCGCTTTGCCGAGCTGGTCTTCGCCGACGCCGAGGAGTCTCCGCTGGCCACGTGGAGGGCGCTGCTAGCCGCACGCAAGAGGAACGATCTGCTCAAGATCGCAGACAGAGGATTCGAGACATTCTGGGAGGTCAGTATAACGTTTAACGCAGAAGTTTAATGGCGAAGCTGTTGGGGTTTTTGTTATGCCGGGTCACGTGACTGAGGCCTATCATCATCGTGAAACATCACGTGGTGTTTTTGTCACCACCTTCATTTTCTGCTTCGCTACAAAAACATGTGCACCAGTTTGTTCGGTGTGGAACGCAATAAGTATGGTGTATATCTAAGAAGCATATATCTAATGGCTCGTTTTTCCATGTTTTGACACAATATTATTGAGATCTAACTGACAATAATAACAAGGAATGTATAGGGGAAGTTATTAGACCCAATGTAATGTAAATAAGAAGAAAGAAAAGAGGGTGAAAAATAACTTGCCGTGAGCAGGAATCGAACCTACGACCTTCGAATTACGCGTTCGATGCTCTACCACTGAGCAATCACGGCGGCTATTCTCCCAGCCATTTTATTGGTTATATATGTGAATGTAAACGTGGGAGTGTGAGTCAGCGCCATCTGTAGCCATGGTGGCGAGTGTGGAACACTCTTTTTATGAGCCTGTGTGGGATATTCATATGTTTAAAGCGAGGGATATTCATATGGTTAAAAGGAATCGTAATAAATGTTTATTCGTGTGTCTGAATATTTTTTTCAAATAAAATGTTACAAAATTCTTGGGCACCTACGAAAATGAACACATCACCATTTTTCAAATTCTCTTAATAAGATTTCCGGAGCTGTTACGGAGATGAACTTTGACTGTAATCGAATAGTATTCGATTCATATCCGTATTCCATTGAGTATCATCGATGTTCACTTCGTGTTTGATTCAGTTCTAAAATGCACTTTTCGCACACGCCTAGTTCAGCTGTGTAATTACCAGCTGTGTAATGACCACACATAGGGTTTCTCTTCAGTATCTTTCCAATGTCAGAGTTGTCTACCGAAAATTGTTTTACATTAGTAATAAATTGTTCACTGCATGCATCGAGAGCTCCTTTCACACAGCAGTGAATCCTTGGAACAGAACTGGTTTCCGAGTAAATACCCTTTTCTACTAGTATCCACACGTCGTCTGTGGTCCCTTTTGGGAGGCGTAATAGCAGCGGGTACGATGAAAGTGTTGACGTAACTAATACTTGACGTCTCATCACTCATCAGGGACCAGCACTGAGAGACACACCATGGCTGGATGTGGACGAAGAGTACCTCGCTGTGCCGCCCGGTGCCGTTGACACGACGTACGTCACATTATAATTATGGAAAGTCTTCTATAACTATTTCTTAATTTTCAACTAAGGTTAGAAAAAAACTGGGCGGAAGTTTGTTATAAGTGTCGAGACGAATGGCACAGTGAAGCATCGACCCATCACCACTTGTACTCCCCGTCGACACACACGTCGCGATTCGTAATGCACCGCTTCATTCTCGAAAGTACGCGCTAGAGTTACTGCACATGCGCTACTTAAATGAAACATCGCTACTCCAGCAATTTATGCGGCACCTAGCGGCAATATAAGGAAGCTGCGTACTGACGTCCGAGCAGCCCAAGCGCCAGACGTGTAAGGTAGAAGCACGGTATGATAGTGCCGCCCGTGAAGAAAAAACGAACAGCCAAGCAGATTTCTTCTTTCCAGGTGAAACACCGGTGTTAAATTGTTAACTCGAACCTATTCAATGACCATTGTATGCAGTGACTACATATCGCTGCGGCACCCGAAGTATGTAAACAATTTTCGCAGAGACGCGGTGCGCCATGTGCATCACACACACAACGCGACCACTTCAAGAACGCCGCTGCTCGCGCTTGCGGGACCACTGGTGCGGGACCACTGGGAGGAGGCATCCGTCGGTGGGTGTGGCTTAGCTACCACGCAATGGCGGCTTGGCCATCCGGTGCATTTTCTGGTTGCAATGCTTGTTTCCGCTTTATTTATATGTTACTTTCTCAATCACAGCACCCGTGGCATTAAACTGCCATGGTACGTTATGCGCGGTGGTCACCATCGCAAAGCGCGAGCTATGCTTGGTGGTTCAACGGTAGGCGTCAGTGCGGTGCGCGGTCGTTGCTTGGTGAAACTCAGCCAAAAATAGTACAAAAATAGAAAAAAAAAGAAGAAGCGAGCGAGAAATAGAGATAAAACCAAAAAAAAAACGGAACAGCAGGTAGAGAAATATTAGAAGTAGAGAAAAATGAGAAAAAATTAGCGAATTACTAATAGTTTTTATATGTACAGAATAAATATGTCATTCACTAAGAATCATATTCTAGTAAACTTATTGTAGTGCTGATGTGAATATATGGTTCGTCCTTTATTTATGTCTATACGTACTTACTCTGTGCTTTTTTTTCCTTTGCGCTTCTTTCTTCCATATGAGTTGCTTTCTACCTCTAATGTTGTTGTAATTCACACCACCGAATGCCATAGACTGGTGCACGGATCCAGTCAAACCTTTACACGCTTCTTATCCGTGCACCAAACATCTCTTAGATGTTTATTAAAATCGGATTGAATTGAACTTAGCGGACCGGACTACAGTATGCTGTCATCGCTTAGTGAAACTCAGGCTCATAGCTACGTTCAAAAATGAAAAAAAGAAGGAAGTTAGTGAGAAATAGAACGAAAGGACGGTAAACTGGGACGAGAAAGGGAAGTACACAGAAATGAGAGAAAAAATTGTAAAAGAAAGAAAGAAATAAAAAGAGCCCTGAAGGGAAAGAAAATCCGGCAAATCCCAGGTACCTGGGCATCAACGTTATGCGAAACATGCGGGGTGAAGGTGACCATGTAGCATTTTTTTTCTTGTTGTTGTTGAGCGACACGTCATCAAATGACGCACAATATACGTACAAATTTTTCAGGCACAGACATATGTTGAAGAGCTCCAGATGTTTATATAACCAGTTGCTAGCACTAGCGCAACGATATCAACTGGAACATGCGTACTGGCAACACCAGAAGGGGATATGAAGCGCTGATCCTCGCGAAGATGCTGGTCCTGGAGACTTTACATATACTAACTTCAGCGCATGACACCTAACCACAATGGGCGTTAACTGGACGTGACGGCTGTATCAAAGGAGTACATATGTAATGTTTACAAAACTGGGTACGCAGTACTGCAACCACTATTGACGTTTCACGAAGATTAGTGTCTATTTGAAAAGTTGTTCCGGGATCTGATGTAGCTCTGTAGTAGAATGTTTCATTGCCATGCAGAATTTTTTATTCGATTTCAGCTGCAACTCTGACATTTATTTTATGTTTTTGTTGGGCCGACGCTACCAATGTCGGGTATTGCTTAATGCTAACGCATAAAAATTGCCCATGTGTGTTCTCGTCGTTCCTGGGTAGCTAATAAATGTCAATCACCTGTGGCACATACCCACCTGTGGGCATGTGTCACTGTCTGGGGGGAAGTGTTTATTTATTTATTTATTTATTTATTTATTTATTTATTTATTTATTTATTTATTTGTTTGTTTTGAATACCTCAAAGGCCTCAGCTGGGGTAATACATGAGGGATGGGTATTAATTACAGAACAAAAAAAGTGATTCGAGGGCAATCTTGAATTGATGTGGGTCGGAGTGGTGCACGGTAGTTGTAGGCAGACAATTCCAGTCCCGTGCGGTTGTCACAAAAAAGGAGCGAAGATGTGCAGTGCTTTGGGCTGGTTGAAGATACGTCGCGTACGTTTGACAACGTACGCGACGTGATTGTGACATTATTTATGTCTCGACCAGCCCATCATATTTGTCAAACCATCTTACCCTCCCATGCTAATTTTGGTTCACGCCAAGTAGTAGAAGTGACCACGAGAGCACCCAAACCTAAGCGGCTAGATAGGTTCTCTCAAAGTCGCCGAAGTTTGCTGAATACGCTCAAAGTCGCCATAGTTTGTTGAGAAATGCTTCGCATTTAAAAATGGTGTGTACTTCTTTGAGGCTTGGGGTGCTAGTTTGAAGTGGCCTTAATTTTATTGCAACAGCGGTACTGTCCTCGTTTTTTTTTTTTTTCGTTAGCAAATTCTCTATTAAAAGACTCCAGCTGGCTCTTTGCGATGAAAACCGTCGCACAACTAAGCTGTGAGCGTGCGGGTGTTTTGATCGGCCCTTCAGATCACGCCGTGTTGTAAAACCTATGGTAAATTTGAAATGCGCGCGCATAAGCTTCACTAAGCATAGGGAGACCACGTGACCTCCCAGCTCGAGATGTAGCGTTTCAGCGAACACTTTGTGTGACGTCATTTGCCATCAGCGCTGCCGGAATCTTTCCTGCTGTTCACTCCCTGTTATGACCGTGACCCTAGCTCTCAAGCGTTTATGGGCATTACATTGGTTTAACACAACAAACAAATTCGCTAATTAATACAATTAATGAACAATCAATAGTCCCGTTAGGTATTTTGTGCCCGAAAATCATTGACAAGGTCACCATCAGTATTTCGCAGATCAGCGTCATTTTATTTATTTGTTCTCTCCCCTCTGTCACGTGGCTAGCATGACACCTACTAGTAAGACTACGACGTTGATAACGGCACAGCGCGGACTAAAGCAGCTTCGTAACAGAAAAGAAAATGATTTAAGAAAAAAATCACAGCATATTCACGGAGTGAATTATGATGAGTGGGGCGAAGCATCCGCCAGCTTGTTCGTGCTTCCGTCCGTCTGCGTGACCATCCGCGCGTCCATTCATGCGTCCATCCGTCTGTCCGAGCGTGGCTACCTACAACATCGGATGATGTACAGACTCACCCCTTTTAAGGAGCTTCGCACCATAAAAATGCATAATCAAACAAACGAGATCGAACATAGATTCAGTGGCACTCCGAACTCAGTATTACACGGCTCGTACTATTTAGTTCTTGATAAACGTGTCTTATCATAGTTACCATTCCGTGTTGCTGTTAAGGTTGCCAATCCTTTAATTAAGTGCATCAGAACGCAGAGGCGGGGGAGGGGGGGGGTGGAGGCGTGCACGAAGATACAGCAAAATCACTTTTGTTTAATGCAGTATCATTCAGACACACTCATTGCTTCTTTATTTCAGCGGCATCTCAAAATGGTGCTTCAGCTCCTAATGTGTTGTTCACAACACTCAATCTTGCTGGAGAATGCATTTCGAAATGCTGTCACCCTTCACATGGCCAGAAGTTAGGCCTATGTGGCCAAAGCCCCTCGCAGCCACCGCAGTGAGTGAGTAACAACTTTATTAGTCGAAGGGGTGAGGGGTAAGGGAGGCTAAGCCACGAAGGCTGCCAGGCTGTGCTTCTCGATGACTTCTTCCGCTCGTTTCAGGACCCGTGTCTGGATGTCTATGTCGTTGCTGGAGAGAAGGGCCTCCCATTGTCCCTCGGTGGGGGGTGAGCAAAGGAGGTCGGCGGGCGGGGGATCCTCCGGGCAGCCCCAGAGGATGTGGTTCAACGAGGCAACGTTGCCGCACAGGCAGCAGCGTGGATCGATGGCACCTGGGTGCATGTATGAAAACACGAGGGGGCACGGGAAGGTGCGGGTCTGTAGGCGACGCCAGGCGATCTCGGACCGCTTGGGAAGGCTGCTGTGAGGATGTGAATAGAAATATCGCTCGAGGCGATAGTGCTGAGTGATGTCGTGGTAGGTGACCAGGGGCTCCGGCACCAGGGCGTCCGACTCTGAGTGGCCCACCGCTCGGTCGACGAATCCTCGAGCGCGTTGGTGAGCTGTCTCGTTGCCGGGGTGACCCGAGTGGGCGGGGACCCAGATCAGTTCTATGCGGCACTGCTCATCTTGCTGCAGTAGGGGCCGAAGTAGCCGTAAGGTGGTAGGCGAGACGAGACCTCGCGCGAAATTCGAGATGGCTTGTTTCGAGTCGCTGATTATGACGCTTGCGTCAGCCGAGGTCGCGGCCAAAGCAATGGCCACTTCCTCCGCCTCGACGGCGTAAGGCGTTCTGACGGTGCCAGCCGTGATGGTCGGCCCCAAAGGAGCTGAGGAGGGCGACACGGAAACGACTACGAAGGCGTCCCTGCGTGCATTGTATCGGGCCGCATCTACGTAGGCGACGGCCGGGTGGTCGGCGTACTTTGCGTGAAGCATGGCGGCACGGGCTTGGCGGCGAGCGTCGTGGTGGCCCGCCAGCATATTCTTAGGTAGCGGCTTGATGTAGAACGCCGCTCGAATAGCATGGGGTAATGAGACCAGATCCGGAGGGTGGGAGGAGGTGTCGTGGCCGATGGAGGAAAGGATGTGGCGACCGGTC